ATTCAAGCAGCCCCCATACCTTTTTCTCAGACTGTTTCCGCTGCTTGGAATGTCTGTTCCTGGACCATCTACCTGCCATGAAGCACCCACTGGGCTTTCCAGGGTACTTCCGTTACCACTTCTGAACAAGGCCTGTCCTGCTCATCCTGATTTTCTGGCATTTCCACAGTTTTCGTTTATCTGATGGGTCGTTTCAGAGAACATTGATGCATTCCACAAATTATCTATTGGGAGCCTACCTTTGGCGAAAAACCAGGCTCCAGGAATTGACAGAATACCAACTGAAGTATTTCAACAAACAGATATACAGTGTCTATGTCAAGAAATTTGGAAGATAGCTACCTGGCCAGCCAACTCGAGCAGATTCATATTTGTGCCAGTTCCAAAGAAAGGTGACCCAAGAGAATGCAGAAGTTACTGAGCAATATCGTTCATTTAACATGCAAGTAAAATCTTGCTGTCAAGATAAAACAATGCAGCACTATATGGACAGGAAGCTGCCAGCAATTCGGCCAGATTCCGAAGGAGCCCTGGAACAAGGGATGTCATTGCTGACGTTAGATGGATTTGGCTGAAAGCAGAGAATACCAGAAAGATGTTTGTGTTTTATTGATTATAAAACGGCATTTGGCTGTGTACATTATGAGCTATGGATAACATTGTGAAGAATGGGAATCCCAGAACACTTTATTGTGCTCATGCAAAACCTGTACACAGACTAAGAGGCAGGTGTTCTAACAGAACAAGGGGATACTGAGTGGTTTAAAATCAGGAAAGGTGTGAGCTGGGCTTGCATCCTTTCACCATACTGTAAATCTGTATGCTGAGCAAGTAATTGGTGAAGCTAGACTATATGAAGAAAAACACAGCGTCAGGATTGGAGGAAAGCTCTTTAACAATCTGTGATATACAGATGACACAACCTTGCTTGCTGGCTCAAAGTGTGAAAGACTTGAAGCATTTTCTAATGGTGCCTTCAGTATATTACACCTCAATGTAAGGTAAACAAAAATCCTTACATTGGCCCAATAGACAACATTATGACAAACAGAAAAAAGATCGAAGTTGTCAAGAATTCAGAGCACCCATGAAAGTGTAGTCAAGAAATCAAAAAACACATCACATTGGACATGTCTGCTACACAAGACCTCTTTGAAGTGTTAAAGATAATACATCACTTTGAGGACTAAGGTACACCTGGCCCAAGTCAGGGTATTTTTAATCACATGGATGTGAAAGTTGGACAATGAAAAAGGAGAATTGATGCATTTGAATTATATAATGTTGGAGAAGAATATCAAAATGACTATGGACTGCTAGAAGAACAAACAAATCTGTCTGGGAAGAAGTACAGCCAGAATGCTTCTTAGAAACCAGGATGGTGAGACTTCATCTCACAAACATCAGGCATTTATTAGGAGGGAGGGGCCAGTCCCGGAAGGACATCGTATTTGGAAAAGTAGAGGGTCATCAAAACAAAGGAAGACCCTCAATGAGATGGAATGACACATTAGCAACAAACAGTGAGCTCAAATACAGCAGTTGTGAGGAAGGCACAAGACTGAGCAGCCTTTGGTTCATGAAGAGTCAGAACCCGTCGATTGCACGGAACAACCACACTTGGTCAGACCCTGTTCTAGGCTTTTAAAGAAGCAGACAAGTTTCTTGTTGAGTTCAGACTAAAGGGGACTGGGTAGGTGCTGGGAGCGGTTGAGGGTAGAGACTCCCACGACCCCCGTGGAGAGCAGGTACTCCCCGCAGGTAGGCGTAGAGACTGAAAATAAATATGGAATGTGGCAGGCCAAGAAGAAAAATCGATCTGGCCCAGGGACAAGGAGAGATATGGAGCAGCCTGCAATTTAAGATAAATTGTTCCGGCCCAGCTTCTCGGCTAGGCTATCTTTGAGGTTCTGATTGGGCATAGAACAGAAAGAAGCTAGGCAGTGAGGCAAGCAGCTCTCCTGGTAAGGAACATTCTCGCAGTTCTAGTAGACAGGTGTGACGGTTCTAAGGGAGGAGTAGGCTGCTCTTGTTCTAAGGCCACAATGGCTAAACGTCAGTGCATTTCTTGTCGCATCTCACAAAACGCTCCCTGGTTTTTTCTCTTGTTTCTTTCATGACGATCACAATTACAAATGCATTTCTTAAAGGCATTTAGAGCGCTCTACACACACACCACATCTTCTGACATTGTGGCTGTGATCCTCCACAGTAGATATTAACTGGTGTTCATGTCACAGACGAGGAGACTAAGGCTCAGAGAGATGAAGTGACATTTTCTTCAGCTAGGTTTTGAATATCAAAGCAATTACACGTGCAGAAAAAGTTGGGCAATGCAGAAGGGCTAGAGGGAAAAGTATAAGTCCACACGGTAAAATTTTGGGAGTGGCCTACTAGATGGCTTTGCCTGCATTTGCAAGCATAGTAAATCTCTAGAATAAATGTCTTTTTCATCTTTATGCCAATGGGACTATTTTTAAACTGAAGGGTGGAATCATTTAATGGACACCTTAAGTACCAAGCACTTGTCAACGGGAGTAAAGAGAACAAAGCCCTGTCTCTCTCCAGCTCCTGCCCCTCCTCCTGCAGGGCCTTTTCAAGGTCCTTACACGAACACCCTCTCCTCATGTACCCAGAGGTCAGGCCGCAGAGAGCAGGCTGTCAATGCAAAACTGGCCTGCTGCCAGAACTAGGGTGACCGCCACAGCAGAGCACAAAGTGGAGGTGGTTACATCACTACACGACTGCCACATTGCATCAGCATACGACAGCATACTTGAAAAAGCTCTGGGAACAATTCCATTTTTTCATTCAAATTTTTTCCCCACAAATTTTGGATGCCTCCTCATATAACTTCCAAAATGAGAATCCTGGTCCAGCCAGACGGACACTTAGCCGTACCCAGCGTAGCCAGCATTCCTTTTACCTCAAGCCTCAATGTTTGGATGTCCCCTGTCAGATAGCAGGCTTTTTGCTGTTGTTGTAAATACAAAACAGCACAAGGAGATAGTTGGCAGGTGGGGAGCAGGTGTCTACCATCTACGTTTCTAGAATTAGAATGGCTGGGGAAACGGTCCGCATCAAAACGTTTGTAAGTATTGTCAGATTGCTCTCCTAAAAAGCCGCCACGTTCAGTGCACAAGAGCATAGCTTCCCACACTCTCCCTCCTAGCAGTCTCTGCCAGTCATCGGTTTACTGTATTTCACATTGAAAAATGACGGGTGGACATTGAATTTTAGGTGTGTCTTTTGGCATCTTTTGAAATAATGCCATGTATTCTTAGCTCTGTCCTATGACCTATAATAAATAATGGGATATTCTGTGATTGGATCCACACACATGAAGCCGAGCTGGTGAACCCCAGATGGTCATGGGGATCAGTATCCTGGGAATCTGGTTTGTAGGGCATTTGAATGGAGCACTCCTGAGGAGTACTGGTCTTTTTCTTCCCTCGGCTCTCTGTCAGGGTTTGGGGCCTGTGTTCTGACTGGTCTGACAGCCTTACTTTGGCCTCCACGCCCTGGGACAGCTTGTGTACCGGAAGTGTCCATGCCAACCCCGGTGCTGTTGAGTGAATTCTGCTTCATGGTGACCACAGTGATCCTACAGGACCGAGTAGAGGTGCCCTCCAGGATTTCCAAGTCTGTACGTCTTTATGGAAGCAGAGTGCCTGATGGGACTAACCCACCAGCCAAACCGCACCAGCAGGACCCCCTTTAGTGTGCGAGTATGGATGGAACTTGATCATCCTTGAAGTTTTCCGAGTTGACCAGGAATGACCAGCGCTTCAGTCCTGTCTAAATAGTTGGGGGGGGGGGGGGGGGAGGCAGAGGGGGTTTGCTACTTTGGTCTTCCTGCCTCTTCCATATTCTCTCCTTTCCCCCTCTTCTGCACATTCCTCTCTTCCGCTCCCTCTTTCTCTAAGCCTCAGTCTCTCCACCTGCAAGATGGGAGCCATGATAGCACCTGCTTAGCTTTGAGGATTTGGTGAATACTGTGTGTGCAGCACCCACCTCCCTGCCTTGCCTCAGTGAGTGCTCCCCTGACCCTTTCCCTTCTTGTCCTAAGTCTCTCCTCCCTTTGTCCTCCCTCATCTCTCTCCCTCTGCCTCTCAAGTTTCTCTTCCCTGCTGCCTTTTCTCTCCCCTCTTTTCCTCTTCCTCTCCTCTCCCCATCTTGGGCCTCCACTGCAGGGTCTGCATGCTGGAAGACCTCTGGTAGGGCCTTGTCCACCCTGATCATCATGTAGAAACATGATGTCTTTTCACTACCCAAAACTGGAGAAGAAACCGTTGGGGGTGGGGGAGCTAGGCTTGCTTTAAGCCCTTCCCGTCTCCTCTTGCCCCGTTCCCATAGGAAACTCTGCCTCTCCCGAGTTTTTTCCACCAGTGGAAGGCAAGAGTCCACTTGTAGGGCCCAAGTGTGGTTGGCATTGCGGGGAACATCACTAGTCAGGAGAGGAGTCTGCTCGTCAGTTTTGTGCCTGAGGCAGTATTCAGGGTTTGTCTGTGTTCTGACATGACTTTAGAGTGCCTGGACACTGTCTGGGCAGCTGGTTTGTCTGTGGATGTTGACGCAGACAGGTCATGAGACGCCCCCTCTCCACCCTGCGCCCAATATACAGAGGCGCTCTAGCCAAGAGTTCGGGTTCACAACCTCTAAAATGGAGGACCCAAAGCTTGACATGATGATGTGCGGGCCTGGCATCAGGGTTCACAATGGGTCCCCTTAAATGGGACCATTTGTAGGCTCAAGAATTCAACAAGCATGGCCTGTTATAGGAAAGTAGAGACAATGTCTAGACGTCAGACACGGCGATCACAGCGCATTACTTCCGCCAGTTCAGGTACACGATCCCGGCCCGGGAGCAAGCGAGGTCTCCGCGCATGCGTCCGCCTCGTCCCGCCCCCTCGCGACGCCCAGTCCCGCGCGCGCGAACAGATCTCTGGGGCGGCGGGACACGCCGTGCGCCGATTGGCGGCGCCCCGGGCCCGCCCCCTGGTGATTGACGGCGCCGATCGCACCGCCCTCGCCGCAGCCGCCGCCGCCGCCCGGTGTGGAGCCCGGCCGCTGCTCGCGGGCTGCGCTCTGCCACCGCCGTCTCCTTCACCACCGCCGCCATGGACCTGTTCGGGGACCTGCCGGAGCCCGAGCGCTCGCCGCGTCCGGCCGCTGGTAAGCGTGCCGGCCGGCCCGCGGGAGGGAGGCTGCACGGCGGCGTGAGGCGGCGGGCCTGCAGCACCGAGCCGCCCGAGGCCCGCTCCGCCATATTCGCTGCGCACGAAGGGAGGACCCGTGGCGGGCGACGGCCCTTTGTGCGGCCGCCGACACGTGCTGCTGGCGGGCGGGGACTGGGGGGCGGGCCGGGAACGCCGTGGGGCCGGGGGCTGCTGCTGCCGCTGCGTCCGGAGCGCGGCCTGGTAGCCGGCCTCAGCCCCTGCGCGGCCCTCCACGGGTCGCAGCCCGGAAGCTGAGGTTGGCGCGCTGGGAGGGACGGTGCGGGGCCGGGATCCAGGGTCGTTTCTGTGCCCAGGGCCGTTCGCCTCCCGAACGCTGCGCCGGAGCCTCACTTCTGCCCACGGAAACGCCAGGGCGCTTCCAAACGTTGGTGGGAAAATGGGAAGAAAAGGTCGTGGGATCTTCCACGAACGCTTGGAAGTCCCCTCGTGCGTGAACCCTGTGGATCGAAGCCCTTTCGCGGCCAGACAAGACCCACTGCCGCCCAGTCTTTCCCCATTGGAAATGCCCCGGGAGGTTGCCGACCGCCTCACCATTTTCTCCGCGTTCACATAGACGCTTTGACCAGCGGAGCACCTTCCAGTTCATACAAAGACGTCTCCGTGTCTGTAAATGCGAGGCATCCAGCTGGACGCCTTTGTCCCAAACCCATGCACAATTTTACAAACCCACTGAGCTTGCCAGGCCTTCCAGACCCACGGAGCCGGAACTCCCGAATCCGTGTATGTTGTTTTCATAATTTGATTTGTTTTTATTGTTGAGTCTGCACACAGCAGGGCACGGGCCAACGTTGCAGTTTCTCCTGTTGACCCGGAGTCCCGGGGTAGCGCTAAGGGTTAATGCTCTGGACCGCACGGTTGGTTTGAACGTCAAGGTTGGCGGTTCAAGCTCACCAGCTGCCGCGCTTTGGACAACAACCTGTTACCCTGGAATTTTGCTGTGATGTTACTGTTGTTGTGTGGATTCCGTTCCAACTCATAGCGACCCTTTACAGGGCTTCCGAGGCTGTGAATCTTTCCAGGAGCAGAAGTAGGATAATCCCAAACCCCTCAGAGCCCCAGCCCCTTCCGCCGCACAATGGAACCTAGAATAGAGGATTGCTAACTGCAAGGTCCGTAGTTCAAACCCACCAGCTGCACCTTGGAAACCCTACACACAGGATCGTTATGAGGCAAAACTGACTCGCTGGCACTTAACAGACATCACCTGTTGATGTTTTACTTTGTGGCTAAATCACCCAGGTGATTCCAATTATTTGGGAACCCATTGTTGGGAATAACTAGGGGAATACCACCCAGCTCTTGCTTTCAGTGGTTACGAATAGGGTTGCTCGTCTCATGGTCAGCAGTTCGAAACTACTAGCTGTTCCGCTGGAGAAAGATGAGGCTTTCTGCTTCCGTAAAGCTTTACAGCCTTGGAAACCCTATATGGGGCCGCTATGGGTCAGAATCGACTCAACAGCACCTAACAACTACAACATTGCTTTCAGAGAGTTTGATTCTGAATCAGGTGATTCTGATTAAAGGCACTATGGAATGGTTTCCCTGGTGGTGCAGTGAGTTGAGGCACTGAGCTGATCACCCTAAGGTCAGCAGTATGAACCCACCGGCAACTCTGGGAGAAAGATACGGTCGTCTGCCCCCGTAAAGATGACAGCGGACAACTGTTGGGGCAGCTCTGTTCTGTCCTGTGTGGTTGCTGTCAATCCGCAAGGGCTGTGGGGTCCACTTGTTTGTGGCTCCTGGTGACCCCAGGTGTGTCAGTAGAACTGCGCTCCACAGTCTTTTCACTGCATTGGCCTTCGGAAGCTGACCCCCAGGCCTTTCTTTCAGGGTGTCTCTGGGTGGGTTCGAACTGCTAACTTTTGGGTTCTTCACCATTTGCACCGTCCATGTGTAGCAGTTACTGAGCAAATAGCAGATGGTGACCTGAGGCTGGGTAGATCTGCTTTAGAGAGGTTGACAAGTCAGGGGCAGGTACTCACAGGAGGTCACCTCATTCTCCAATTTCCTGAACACCGCCTCAGCGTGAAGGAGGGGGCCGGGGCTCTGGAAGGGTCGTTCTACCCTCTTTGGGGTCAGGGTTTGGGCTTTTCCCATGTCGGATGGGGTTTCAAAAAGTTCATGGTGGAATGGAATGAAAAGACAATTTGTCACCAACTTGCTGAAGGCCCTTCGTGTACACAGCTGGTCTGTAATCATGGCATTTTGGAATTTCTCTTTCCAGTAAAGACACCGTTCTAAGATTACAGAAGCATCCAAACAGCTGGGCCTTGAGTCTGAACTCAGCTCAGCAGGGGTTTTAAAGAATGCCTCAGCTCGAGTCTAGCAGGTGACAGGTGGCACTTAGTGTGTACCTCTTCCGTTCACTCTGTTGACAGTCATTTCTACTTGAGTGTCTGCAGTCCTGGAGTCGCGCTGTAGGACAAGCACTCAACCACAAGGTCGCTCCTTGGAAACGCTGTACAGGGTCTCTGTGAGTCGGGACCGACTTGATGGCACCTGATAACAATTTCGTTTAGAACACGAGCCCTGGTAGCGCAGAGAATAGATGTGAAGCTGCTTCACATGGGCTCATCTGCTGGAAACACGTGTGGCAGTGAGGATGACACCCTTGGGAAGCCCGAGGGCAGGTCTGCTCTGTGTGGTCAGGTGACTGCGTGGCACCGGTGGATAGGCTGTTAATAGAGTTTGGATTCGCATATATGCCTGCCAACCCCGATTTTTATTTCCATGGCTTTGCACATGAAATTAATTTGGGTCTGCTCTGGGATGATGCCTGGAAGGTGAAGGTATTAAAATCCAGTTGCTGCTGAGTTGATGGCCAGCTCATGACCCTTAGGATTGTCAGTGAGTTTTCAGAAGTAGGTAGCCAGCCCTTTCTGTTGAGGTGCCTCTGGGTGGACTTGAACCGGCAGCCTTTTGGTGAGCAGCTGAGCACGTTCGATGTTTGCAGCCCTTAGGCCTCCTGAGATGACATAGGACCTGACAGCTCTAAGTCTTAGAAGGGACCCTGATAGCCAGGTTCAGTGAGAGGAGGGCTCAGCCTCAAGCTTGCAGCCTGGCTGAGATGCCGCACACCAAAGGTGGACACCCCCTGTGGACACTGGGAACACAGACAGTCCCAGGTCCTGCCTGGCTGAGTATTTTTTTAAAAACGGCTTTTCTTCTTGAAAGCAGATCAGCAGGCCCACATTCAACAAATCATACATACACTTGGGGTCATTACAGTGATTGTGGTCTCCTCTCCGAGTACCAGCAGTTAGCAGTATCTACCCTGTCACTTCCGCTCGTGGATGCTCCCTGTGCAGTACCTTCATCTGTCCTCTGCCAACTTGCCTCTTGTATATTGCCTGCCTGTCATTCATGTTCTGTGCGTCTACCCTGTTCCCTGTGAATGCCCCCTTCCAGTAACCGTCATAGAAGGTTTTCTCAGGCAGTATTTGTGCTTTTGTGATTGGCTGATTTCACTCAGTATGTTTTTCAAGTTCATCCATGTCAGGGATTGTGTGGATTCAGGGTTGTTTTGCATTCTGCTGTTGGGTAGATACCCAATCTGGTTTAACCATTCTTCTGTTGATGGGCATTTAGGCTGGCTCCATCGTTCGCTATTGTTAATGTGGTTAAGTGCCTAGTTGGTTTTAACTCAGGTGACCCAGTGTAGGGGTTCCAAGGCTGTAAGTCTTTGCAAGAGCAGAAAGCCTCATCTTTCTCCCGTGGAGCGCTCTTGGGCTCCATCTGCCAACCTTAGTGGCCTTCCAGCTCTCAAGCCCAAAGTTTATCCTCCAGAATCACTGTGCTCCTGCAGTGAACATGGTGTGTATATACCTACTCATGCCACAGCTCTTATTTCTTGAGAATATGTACCAAGCAGAGGGATTGCTGGATCAGATGGTGTTTATATTTCCAATTTTTTGAGGAAATGCTATATTGTTTTCCAGAGTGGTTACACCATTTATTTAACAAACCCATCAGCAGTAGAGGGAGGGTCCCACTCTCCACCCTCACCAGCATTATTGTAAAAACAGCTTTAAAGGAAAGAAGTGAATTTTCTGAATTCAAAATGGGTAGAATTGGGATCCAACATTGTCTTAACAGACAGCTAAAGCCCACAAGATGATATGTAATCGGTTAATTAATTTTAAAATGATTTGAATGAGAACAGAATCTGATGTCCCCTTCTTGAGTAGCAACTGTGACCTTCTTTATACCATACTTTGTTTCAGAAAACCAGTTCTGTCAGTGGGTAAGTTGATACAATTAAAACTGGCATAGAGGAAAGAAAGCTTGGTCAAGTACATGGAAGGGTAAGGCTCACCTGCACATCCCACGTGACCCTCCTGTGTGATACATGAGCGTTAGTATCCCAAATTTCCAAGCTAATGAGGGAATGATAACAAAAAAGAAGCTTGTCATTTTTACAGCCCCCAAAACAAGTTGGCCAGGAGATGCAGTGTGACTGGTTTCAAATCCTGCTTTGCCTCCTCTGTTCCCGCATCTGTAAACTAAGGTGATGACACCTGCCGGCCCCTCCCTCAACAGTGAAATCCTGGTCTCCAGTCCAGGCGGTGGGGTGCCACAGCACACAGCCCCCACTACCCTCAGAATCCCCAGCCCTAGTGAGCTGTTAGTGTGAAAAGCTGATTAAAAGGAAGCAGTGCGGTCCCAGATTGTGGGGACACAGTGTCCAGAGGGAGGAGACACTCCCTGCCCAGTCTACATCAAGTGTACTGTGTCATTCTTCAGGTTTTGTTTTGTTCTTAAACTCACATCTAATGTACCTACCCCAGGCCTCTTCGTTTTTACGGTCTGAAGAAAAGCGTAGAAGAGTTTGCGTTTACTGTTTTCAGGTATTGTGCTAAATTAGGAGTAGTCTGTCATCCCAGCACTTAACAGGAGTTGAATCTTGAGTTAATGAAGTTTTAAAAACACAAGTGGGCATCAAAAATTTTGTGGCAAAATGAAATGAAAAGATAGTTGAATTTTTCATAAAACTTTTTGAAGCCCTAAAAGAACGCTCCGATTCGCTAGGAATGGCGCTTCTCTGCTGTCACACCGCGGAATGTGCCAACTTAAATCTTCATAAGGTAGATGATGTCTTTGACAGTTGAAGCATGGTACAGTGTCATGGTTTAAAGTGATGCGGGCAATGCAGGAACTTGATTGGAGTTTGACAAGTGGTTCTTCATATAATTGGTTGCTGACAAATGGCAAATGCTCAGCTGCTTCATGGGAGAAAAGACCCGGGATCTGATTGGTTAGAGATCACAGCCTCGGAACCCCTATGGGGCTCTGTCTTACAGGGCTGCCGTGAGTCAGAGTCCATCCAACAGCAGTGGGCTGGGGTGGTTTCCCAGTAAGTGTGAGGGGGTTTCAAAAACGGAATGACGAGATCATGACACTTTCCCTTGGACATTTGGCAACCTCTCATACACTCTGAAATGTCAGCTGTCAAAAGACCAATATTTGCTTGGCCGAGCCACCTTTAAAATCTTGTTTACAAAAATAGACATTGAAATACCAAATAAAGGTCAAGCTAGGAGAAGAAAACTAAGCTCCATTGTAGAACTTGAAGATTAAGCAGGAATGAAGTCAAAAGTCGTATCACAGTGAATGGATGTGACCATGACCGTGAACCCCAGCTGCCCGCAGAAGCAAAGATTCCACAGGCTGTCGATCGGCAAGTGGTGTGAGTGGTCTCATCCCTGAGAGGCCTCCCCATGAGCTCACCCACATGAGTAAGGACCAACCAGAGAACCCAAGGGGCTGCTCCTGCCAGCTCCAGGGGGATGTCCAGGTGGCCCGTTCACAGGGACGAGAGCCTCCAGCTCAGCACAAAGTGCTAACGTTGGTGAGCATGTCCAGGTACTGTGAGGAGGAGTGCTGCCACTTTCAAGGGCACTCATCTTGGCATCTGTTGGATTTCAACTCACACCCTTTGCCTAGCTGCCTGTCAGATTTGTGAGGGCAGAGGAGGGGACTTCCAAAAGTTTGTGGGAAAACGAACTCCTCTGTGAACTTTGGGAAGCCTCCTCGTTTGTGTAAGGATGTTTAAACCCGCTGGCATTGAGCCCATGTAAGCTCAGTGCCCCCCGTGACGGTCATGGCTGTAATCCTGATGGCAGTAGGTCACCAGGTCTATTTGAAGCCGCTGGTGGCTTTGAACTGCTGATGGTTTGGTGAGCAACCGACTGTTTAACCACTGTGCCACCAGGGCAAGGGTGTGTGCGCTGGCATTCTTTGTCTTGTGAAAAAGCTGGAACCAGCCTGAATGTTCACCGGTAAGAGAATTGGACAGCTTTCAGGAGATGGTGGCCGTATTTGACCCTGTGGGTCGGTTGGACAGTGTCTTGTGTGGGGTGTGTGTAGCGTGTGAAAGATGAAAATGCTCACACACTCTTAGCTTCAAGGTAAAGTGGACTCAGACATGTGACTGAGGAGTGTAGAGGCGGAAGCTGAGGGACTGTCCATGTACTACGTGCTTGGTGTTTGCACAATACCTGTATTGCTTTTGTAGTTGAGAAGAAAGTTGAGGTATTAAGACCATTTGAAGGTCTTGTTGCACTTATTGTACATGACGACCTTCAGTTAAATCAATCCTGAATACATCCTCACATCCTTAGCTTTACTTCAGCGTGCAGGTAACAGAACAGAAACCCTAGACGACATTAACTAGAACTAAAAAAATTCTTCACTCTTCCTTCACTGTCTTATTGTTAAGTGCCATTGATTCGATTCCAACCCGTAGCGACCCTGTATAGGGTTTCCAAGGAGTGGCTGGTGAGCTTGAACCATCCACTTTGCAGCCTGACACATTAGCCCACAGAGCCATAGGGCCCTTATGTTTGGAACTCTGGGACCTCTTGCCAAGTGAGGAGTCAGGGTCTCACTTTGTCCAGTGGTATTGACCTGAAATCGAGTGTGAGATTTTAATTCGTGAGAAGGTCCCCTTTCTAGCATCTAGCTACCCGCTACAGTTGGGTTTGCTTCTGCTCTTTGAGCTTGACTTGGCCTGGGAGGAAAGTTTACAGCGCCTGTTGGTTGTCCAGTCAGCAGTTCGTACGCATTTTGTTTTCTGACGTTGATTGCTGTCCCCACAATGTGGCAGCGCTCATTCCACTTCCTTCTGTGTGTGTGTGTTTCCCTTTTCCGTTTGCTCTTCTTTCCGGGCCCTTCCTGCCTTCCTAGCATTCTCTCTGTGCATGAGTACTAAGGGCACTAGCTGGGCCATAGCCTAGGGGCGTTTTCTTGGTGTAAAGAGGCCAGATGTAAGATAGTCTCCCTTTGACACCTTGAGTCACAGGTGAAAGGCCTGCCAGAGGCGTTCCTGTGCCTGCCACCATCTCTGTCTGGCTTTCCGGGTAAATGAGGTGACCCAGGTCAGGGTCAGTAGGACTAGGCCCATCGGAATCAACCTGCTGGGGTTCGCCTGCCCCGAGCCTCCCTGGCTCAATACAGCTGTCCAGTCATTCACCTCAGTTTCCCCATCAGTAAATAAGAATTATCAGCTTGTAGAGCTCTGGTAGCGTAGTGGTTACGAATCGGGCTGCAAACCTTAAGGTCAGCGGTTCGAAACTACCAGCTGCTCCGCGGGAGAAAGATCAGGCTTTCTACTCCCGTAAAGATTTACACCCTCGGAAACCCTGTACAGGGTCGCTATGGGTCGGAACCGACTCGACGGCACTTAACAACATAACAACAACAAGAGGTTAGAACCGCATCTGACAGCAGGTAGGTTATTCGTTAAGCCATTTTCATCTGTGGCCAGTGAAAGTATGAAGTGACCTGGGCCCCACACCTGACTTGCTGCAGTCATCCGTGTTCTTCCCCTCAGTTTAACTGAAGCACCGTGCATAGTGTTCCAGAAAGGAAAAGAAGGTGTGGTGGTCAGCTTCTCCTATCTGACACATTCTTGGTGGTGGTTCTCAGTTTGGGGCATTGCCTTTGACTAAGAGTTGTGTCCAAACTGAAGTCACTTCAAAGGAGAGGTGCCTAGTTAGTGTGGACCTGGAAAGTATTGTGAGGAGGCCGTGACGAGTGGAAAAGTCTCATCTGAACCGTGGTGGAGGCGCAGATTGGTTTAGATTGCGGTATGACTCTGACACTGAGCTCTGTGGTCACCAGGAAAAGGCTGGTGGCCGGCCGTCTGGTGCCTCTTCCCTGTAATAGCCCAAAGAGTGACCGTTTCAGGATTAGACCCAGCATCTGATGATTTCAACGTCTCGCGATACGAACCATGGCCGGGTACTATGTGTATTGCAGAGAAGCGAGGTTAAGAGCGTTCTCATACCCATTCAGGCTGAGGTGCTGGGACACTTTGGCAGCACCACCATAGCAAGAGCGACAAAACTCCCTGCCCGGAAGTGGCCTTCAGGGTCCAGCCTCATGCTGTTCCAGGATGCACTGATATCTTCTTGCTGTAGAATCAGGGTTTTTCTTCCAGGATCCTCATGTCATGAGATATTTTAAGATGTTTTTTGCTTTTAATAATAAAAGCATCACCTATTTCACAATAAAAAGATATAAATTCGATAACCACATGAAGGCAAACCACCAGCAAAGATGAGTATGTAAAGAGGCCGGGAACTAAATGCCTGGAAAGAGAACCCCCATTCTGACGATGAGCTGGGCACACACGCTGAAGAATGGGCCCTCTGACTAATTTGGAGGAACGGGTAGATGGGAACGTAAAGTCTTGTGACCCCTTCACCAAGAACACAAGAAGTCAGGATTGTTGTTAATACTGTTTCAGGGGAAGACTCTCAGAAGGGACCCCTGCTCTTCGACGACCTCCCTCCGGCCAGCAGTACTGACTCAGGTACAGTCTTCAGACTCTCCCAGGTGTGTGTCAACGTCTCTACTCATCCTGGGATTGGAGTGGTCTCAACCTTTCTCCCTTTCCCCCGTTTTCAACACGCAGATGGTTTAGGTGTTGGCCTGTCTTAAGTTTTGAATCCCTGGCTTCAGGTAAGGCAGAAAACCCACTAGTTGGCAGCCCTGAGAAGTACTGCGTCCTCACGGCGAGCAGTGTTCTCTGGCGCGTTTGAGCGTGTCCTAGCCAAAATACCAAGGACCTTTTCCAGGCACATTCGTTTCCTTTGAGACGGTAGGACTGGAATGAGAGAGACTCGAGGCTGTAGTGACTATGCACTTACTGTTGACCTCACTGACCTTCTGTAGGTGTCCTGGTGGGATGGATGCTGACACGGACACTTGGGGACCAGGTTCGTGGGCTCACCGCGCCTTCTACTGTGTTTCAGGACCAGGGGGACCTTTGCTTTTTGATGATCTCCCACCTGCTGGCAGCGGTGATTCAGGTAAGTGGTAGGAAAACCCCCAACAACCCCAAACTGTGTTGTAAATCCTACAGTGAGGCCTGGGAGATCAGAACTCAGCAAGTTTCCTTTTTGACAGGGAGCATCTGACCACTTTTCTTACATTCTCTATTTTTTGGAAATGTATGTATTTCCTGTCTCTGACAGGATTTCATCTTTTGCAGGTTTAACTGTACATGATATTTTACCTTGTAACACGATCATAAGTTCAGAGAAAGCTTAGGATCATGTTAAGTGGTTAATTGGCAGATCACAGGTTTATTAAACTAAGTCGGTAGGGAGAGGACCCGACGAGTTTGGGAGCCAGTGGCTCTAAGTCTGAGTAGGGGAGACGGCTGAAGAATGGCTGCGTTGGAATCACGCTGCTGCGAAGGGTGTTGAAGTGCATGGAGCGCCAGAACAAAGAGCAAATCTGTCTGGGATGAAGTACAGCCAGAGTGCAGCTTTAGAAGCAGGATGGCTAGACGTCCTCATATACCCTGGGTATATTATCAAGAGGATCCGTCCCTGGAAACAAGGACATCATGCTTGGTAAAGTAGAGATCAGTGAAGAAGAGGAAGACTCCCAATGAAATGAGTTGACACGGGCTGCCACAGAGAGCTCAAACATAACATTTGTGAGGCTGGTGCAAGACCCTTCTGTTGTGCACAGGGTCGCTGACCTGGAGCCAGCTCGATGGCACCAGACAACAGTGGGACCCTCCGGTGGGAGCAGAGAAAGGGAACTTCACACTCACTTTCTGATGATGAGATTTCTTTCCATGGCTGAGATCCAGCTTGTCGGAGCTGATTGTAAGAATGAAGAATCCCATTACTGACGTTCAGCTTTGTTGTTAACGGTGCCTTTTCTCTGAGGAGACGAAATCTCGAGTCTCATTCCAGTTCTCACCGTGTTCCTGACAGTAGGAACAGTGAGCTGACTATTTCTGATGCCCTGGAGCCCAGATAGATAAGTAGGCCTTGAGTTTGTGCCACTCAGATGTGGATCCGGGTGAAATCCGGGCCGCCTGGTTTGGAGACTCTGGTGCAGACTATATACAGCGGTTGCTCTGAGTCTCAGACCTTCGCTAACGATTTTCCCGCCCAGCTGTAACATGTCCTCAAGGGGCAAACTATTACTTTGACGTCATTTTTACCAAGCCTGTCAGTATTGGTTCTCCCTACTCCTGAAAATGTAAACTTAAAACATTTTGTTTCTTTTTAATGTCCCAATAAGTGTCAGGGAAGACTAGAGCAGCTCCTCCATGTCACAGTGCCAGAAATCAGCCTCGGCTACTGTGGGTCTGCTTTCCGACCAGCCTAAATACGATCTGGCTACACAGAGTGTGTGGCTTCCCAGTGTGTATGAAAGAGCCTGCTGGTGGAGTGGGCTAAGCATTGGACTGCCAACTGGAAAGGTGACAGCTGAAACCCATCAACTGCACCACAGGAGAAAGATGAGGCATCTGCTTCTGTAAAGAGTACAGCCTTGGAACCCGCGTGGGGCCGGGCTGCTCAGTCCTGTCAGGTGCAGGTGCCTGGGGGTTTATAGCAGAGGCTGGAGAAGTTCCGAGAGTGAAGAGGATGACCAACAAGTGCCTTGGACTCAGAGTAAGCACATGCTGTTTGGAAAGATGGTGCCATAGACTCGCCTGAGCAAAGAGCGCCACAAACTTGCCATTTGCTTAAAAAAAGAGGCGCCGTCTGAAGTACAACACAAGGGAGGTTGCCTGGGGACTCCTCCTCCGTCTGCTAGGGTCTTTCCTCCTGCCTGCGCCTGCCCTTGGGCACGCGCTTCCTGCTTCTCAGTCTCCTGTGTCTCCTTCCACCCAGGCAGACTCCCAGCTCCTTACTGTGAGCCCACTGGGACAGGCGCAGAAGAAAGTGGGCTATAAATAGTATAGTTTTTTGGTGGTGTGATAATTATCTTACCCCAAAATTCTGTAGCTTGTTTGCCAGGACTACGGGCCCATCTTCATAGTCACCATTGAGCCTGGACCCTTCCCAATAAAGAGAGTGCTCTGCGTTAGAATGTCAGGTAATCTGTGCAAACAAGACTTACAGATTTATTAAAACAGGATATTCGACATAGCACTCTCTGAGCTGCTGATAGGGCAGAAAACCGCACATCTGCAGACTTGGAACAGCTCAACGTCACTACTAACAGTTTGGGCTTTGGGGTGGATAGTTCTGTGTCAGATATTTTGGCTGTCGTGAGAAGAGACTACTTCCCAAGCACTATACATGAGGCCATGAAGAATGAGCTCCACATACAAACCCCATTCTCTGCCTACAGTGTCATCAGATGAAAAGTTGTCAACACAATTTTGGAATCTAGACGAAAGGCCGGTACTTTTACATGCACACTGGGAACCGTTGTGCAAACGGCAGTGAAACGGTGCCGCCTGACAGGCCTTGGCCACTAATTCTGTCAGAAGCACCTGGGGACTTCCTCAGTCCGTCTGCTCCATGTGTCGGCTGCAGCGTCTGGTGCCTTGCTGTTACAGAAAGCTGTCCGTGTCTTAGTAAGTGACTCTTTGCCATCCAGGGAAGCATCTCCTTTTGTCTCAGAAACGTCTGGTGGCAGAGTAGCTTCAATAAGCAGCTGCCTGCTTTATATCCAACTGCTGATAACCCACTCAAGGGCAGCTATTTCCGTGACACTGACTGCCTTATGTTGGATGTACCAGGCACTGTGGCACATGACTTACATACCCCGTCCTGTCGATTTCAAATCACCCCATGACACATGACGGAGGAGGAAACTGAGGCAGGACTGTGGACTGAGTAAATTGCATTGAAGCCACAGGTTCTTCTGTGAGCAGCCGTACTGCGCACCACTGCGGAGTCCTGGGGACAGGACCATCAGCCCCGCTGCACTGCAGGGCACATGGGCTCGGAAGGGCTGCCACTCACCTCATCCTAAGCTTGTGGTTTTCCGTTTTTTGGAGTCCTGGTGTAGTGCTGTAGGATTAGCACTGGACTGCGAACCGTAAAGGCAACAGTCAAACCCACTTGCCCGTCTTTGGAAACCCTACACAGGGTTTCTTTCAGTTGGAACCGGCTCAGCGGCTCTTGACAACAAGAAGCCCTTTTTGGCAGTTTGCTAGACCTCTCTGTTGATCCAGAAGGCCCTGACTGCCCATGTGACAGCCCCAAGTTGTGGTGGGCGTATGTATTCACCACTTGGAAGGCGTTAGGAGGAATTCTTACTGGGGTCCCTACTGGGGTTGCACACAGATGCCCCGCGGGTACCTGCCTGAGTGACTGTCCTCCCTGACCAGGGTCTCCTCTGTGGGAGGGCTCCCTGTGGGCTTGTCTTTCCTGGTCCGTGACCGTGTGTCTGCCCGGCTCTCCGTCCTTCCTTTCTTCTCAGGTGCTCCGGCCACTCCGGTCTCCCTGTTGGGAAAGAACCAAGGGAAGGGGGCTAAAAGGAAACCCTATGAAGAGGAGAAGAATGGCAGTGAAGAAGAGCTTGTGGAAAAGAAAGTTTGTAAAGGTTTTCAGACAGTTTGAAAACACATGTATTAGACTTCATATTTAAATCACCCCAGAGCCAAAGGAAGCTCAGCTTTCTAATTGTCACCGTGCCTGGCATGTCCGTATTTAAGACGTGGGCACAGGGCCCTTTCTGCAGATGGGTTTCCCTGCTTACCCTAGCATTCTCTCGACTTTCCAATGCAATTCTGGACGCCCCCTCTGGTCCTCTAGGGAACCTCGTGGTTTTCCTCCACCTTAGGGATGCAGAGTTACTTTTGGGTGTCTCCTGTGACTGTTGGGTGTCCCCCTGTGACTGGCTAGTTCACTGCCCACCCAGCTCCCCCTGTGACTCATGCCTCTCTTCAGCTCTGCCTAACCTTTTGGGTTCTGATTTCACTCAGTAGGCAGCTTCCCAAGAGAGACTCTCAGGCTGGAAACACTGTTGGTATTTGGAGTCAGGTTGGTAGCTTGTCCAAGTCTGTGGGGACAAAAATTGGCAGTACTCACTAAAGAGAATACCTGTGGATTTTCACTTCCTGCCCCTGAGGGGGACTCTGCCCTCTGTCTGTCTCACACAAAGACACTGGAGGATGTGTAGGGTGATGGGGCAAATCCTTCAGCTCTTGCTCCTCTGACCTGTAGAGCCAGCACCCCCTAGAGGCTTTTTGTGCCGTGTGGGGCCCTTGAGGCCAGGACCCAGGCCTACACTTAACTCTTCACGGCTCCGCTTCTGCAGCAGCCTCACCACAAGAGAAGCCACGTTTTCAGGAGACCTGCTGGTGTGGTTCAAACCCACCAGCAGCTCTGTGGGAGGAAGATGTGGCCATTTGATGTGTATAGCTGACGGCCTTGGAAACCCTGTGGGGCGGTTCCCCTCTATCCGGAGGCTTGTGATTAGTCGGAGTGAGACTGGACTGTGGGGATCGGGCCTTGGAGACAAACTGTTGACTTCAGCTAGGAGTTTGCTGACTCAGTTGTACTAGTGACAGGACTTGGTTTTACTGACCTTTGTCCCCCGATGGGTGTCCCATTTGTGCTTTCTGGGCACGGGCAGCTTTGTACTAACGTCGTCATCTGTGTCTTTGCTCCCCTGCTTAGCCCTGAGGACATGTGTGTTCCTGTCCCCCTCCCCACCCCCTGCTGTGGGACTCGGGTTTCCGGGGGGGCAGGACACAGTTTTGTATGTGCCTTGTTCTCTGCCCCTCAGCCTCTTCGGCAATCCTGGGCCTGAAAGGCTATGTGGCTGAGCGGAAGGGTGAGCGGGAGGAGATGCAGGATGCTCACGTCATCCTAAATGACATCACGGACGAGTGCCGGCCCCCCGCCTCCCTCATGTGAGTTCTGCATCTGTCTTCTCAGCTTGGGTGTGCTTGGCCCACTGGGGATATTTTTAAAGGACCCCTGCTGGTATTGTGGGTTACCTAGGGTTGTTCATCACAAGGTGAACGGTTCAAACCCTCTAGCTGCTGTGTGGGAACAAGATACTGGCAGTCTGTGTCTGTAAAGATTCACAGCCTGGCAAGAGGCGAATATGGCGAATGTATGGGTTTGCTGTGAGTCCGAGTGGACTTGATGGCTGTGGCTAAACTTCCTGTATAGCAGAAGACCACAAGACGCCCCCACCCCTAACACACACACAGGTGAATGCTCTGGCCCCAAATGTCCACGGTGCTGCCACTGAGGAACCCCACCCAGTGGACATGTCCACATTGTGTGGCTCTTCACTGGGTGGGTGCTTGTTTACTTTGTAACCTAGAGGGCAGTGTGTGTGGGGAAGGTCAGCACAGTTCACCATGGCCCAGAGCAAACAGAAAGGCTGACGCAACATCAAGAGAGGCTGTCACGGCTCACTTCCTACAGCCCTACGAAATAGGGAGAAGCCGCCTGGGGACTTCTAGGCCTGATGGCACGGGAGCTAGAAGACAGGACAGTTAGTGGCCACTGGCTGTCTTCTCCATGCTGGGGCCGTTGGAGCCAGCGGCCTTTGTCCAGTAGATGGCCTGGCCAGAGGGGCCGTGCAGGGAGATTGTGCATGGCCCACTCGAAGGCCCCTTGCTTGTTGCCAGGACCAGTGGACACCTCAGGATTGCTGTCCAGTCCAGAAAGGCCTCCAAGAGAGCTGCTGGGAGCAGATTCTCCCAGCACGAAACCAGGCTGTGAGCTTGAAACTATTATGTTCCACCAAGTGGATTCCACTCCTGGTTACCCATGTGTTTGTTAACAGAGTATAGGGGTTTTCTTAGCTGTCATCGTCACCAAAGCAAATGGCCACTAGGTGGCCTCACACCACCTCACAGCTTCCTGTCAGCAGCCATTTGATAGCATCTGGGCCAAGGGCCTCGAGCTCTAACCCAGATGAGGTTCATTTGCTCACGAGGCATTTCATACATGTCTGATACATGCCATTTCTCACAGGCATTTTTTTGTATTCTTCTGAAAGAGTTGGTTGTGGAATGGCACCTCCCTTCTATATGGTAGTCTCTGGGTAGTGCAGATGGTTAAGCACACGACTGCTAGCTAAAAGACTGGCAGCTTGAACCCACCCAGAAGCACCTGGGAAGACAGGTCTAGTGACCTGCTTCCGAAAGATCAGACTCTTGGCAGTCCCTGTGGTGCCGGTGCCGTTGGCGTTCTGCACACACAAGGCTGCCGTGAGTTGGAAATTAGACAAGTCTCAGCATCAGCCAGTATGGGGGCTACAACTGGAAAGGAATAGGGATAAGACTAGTAAGAAAGATTGGATGTTTGAGATACTGTATAGACATTTTGGAACAGCCTCCTACTCTCACTAATAGTCCATCCTGGGCCAGTAACTGCTTATCTGTGTTTGCGTTTAAAGGCAAAACTCTGCATTAAATAGGAACAAAGTTCTGAGTTTATCTTCAGTGAAAAATCAATGAACAGATGTTGAATTTCTGAAACAAGTGTGAGCTTACCATAGGTGTTTCAAATGCAGTGGAAGCGACTGAGCTGTACGGGGGCTGGCTTCTGGTCAGCACTGGGCACGTAGGAGACAAGGGTGGAGGCTCTCTGGGGAGCGGGGATGTGGCGGCCAGGAGCTAACCGGCTCCCACTTGGTCCTTCCAGCGCGCGCGTGTCCTACTTTGCTGTGTTTGATGGACATGGAGGGATTCGAGCCTCAAAATTTGCGGCACAGAATCTGCATCAGAACTTGATCCGGAAATTTCCAAAAGGTGAGACGGTGCGAACTCGGCCAGTCTTCCATGTGCAGGGCTTGGGCGGTTGATGCGGTGGCTCTGTGAGTACTACTGCCCCCTCCCCAAGCTTTATGGGGGGGTCAAAGGAGTCCGCAGAGCCGAGACTCCAGGTTTCTTGGTGCTGGGGCCTGGCGCTGCTCACACCAGCGTGATGGAGGACAGTCCACCCCAGACTGTCACCGTCAGCTTGGTGCTCCTCTGACCACCTGTTCTCTTTCTCTGTTCCTCCTGGGACAGGGGATGTGGTCAGTGTGGAGAAGACCGTGAAGAGGTGCTTGCTGGACACATTCAAGCATACCGACGAGGAGTTTCTCAGACAGGCGTCTAGCCAGTGAGTACAACCAGATCAGCCGTTGGCTTTCTAGCTGCCTCCCGGCTCCACCCCGGCGCTCCCTGTGTGCTGGGACAGGGACAGGGCAGCTCCTTGTGAAGTCTGAGTCCCTTTGCTCCTTTCTGGGAGTGCGGCTCAGGTGCTGGGCTGTGGTGCTGAGTGTGTCTGCACTGTCCCCCAGGAAGCCTGCCTGGAAGGACGGGTCCACTGCCACGTGTGTCCTGGCCGTTGACAACACTCTCTATATCGCCAACCTCGGAGACAGTCGGGTACGTGGCTAGGATGGCTCGGGCCGCATGGTGAGAACTGGCCACACAGGCAGCACTTTGGACCACCTAGGCTTTTCCCGCAGCTTTCCGTCTGTCTTTGTCCTTTGTGTTCTGGGAAGGGCACTGGGCAGAATGGGATGGCTGGATGTATGCTCACATACTAGCGGGTTTCTGAAGGTTCACGGGAAATTGCCATTGTCTTTCCATTTCCTCACACGTTTCCTTTAACCCGTTCACCACCATGAGGTGAAGGGAGAAAGCTCAGGGGCATTGGTTTTCACTGGTGAAGTGCCCCGCCTGAGGCTGGCTCCAGTGAGTGCCTGCTTTCCATTAGAACCACTGTTGACCCCGGCATCGCTCTCCAGGTTCCTCAGTCACATAACCCAAGTTCTCCTCTGCCGGTTAAGCAGCATCTTGAGGCCCCTGGGGACTTTTGGGGTGATTCTGTGACCCAGCATTTAAGGGCAGAGGACAGCCCTGCTCTCGCAGAGTGGACTTGTGGTTACCCCACAGGCTGCCTCGGGTTCTATAACATGCATTTAGACCACGCATGCACGTGCGTGCTTAGTCCCTGGGATCAGACCCAGACTGGAATTCTAACACTGCTATGTGACCTGAGGCTGGTCATTTACCCTCCTCTGTGAAGTGGGCATAGTGAAGCAACTCTGGGCCCTCGTCGTTGCCTCATGCCAGTTGGGAGGGCGCAGTGCCAATGAGACCGCATGTCTCTTGCTTCCCTTAGTTCTCGCTGAGGCCCAGAAGGAGGCGAGTGGTCCCTGTGGTCATCTTGCCAAGTGTGCCCGGGACAGGATGGAGACCCAGGGCCTCTTCCTTTTGGGATCTGTGCAGCCCAGTCTGTTGCTGGCCCTGCTGGGACCCCCAGGTCTTGCTGCTTGGTTTTATTTGTCAGCAGGAGGCAGACTCCGAAGCACCACCGGGCCCTTTCTCTTCGGAGGGGCGCCAAGGCCGTGATCTGCTCTGTGGTCTCTGTCCCCAGGCGCTCCTGTGCCGCTACAATGAGGAGAGTCAGAAGCATGCAGCCCTGAGCCTCAGCAAAGAGCACAACCCCACCCAGTATGAGGAGCGCATGCGGATCCAGAAGGCCGGGGGCAATGTCAGGTAAGCTGGGCTGTCCCAGGCTAGACTCACACCCTTTCTTGGTTGTGTGTATCACAGGGAGCCACAATGGGGGAGAATCCCCCCGAGGGAACATGGGAAGTGGTTGGGGCGAGCTGCCTCTCTGAGCCCCCTCAGGGACAGCCCCCCCAGCCCAGAGGCCATGTCTGATGGGCAGCCCTCGGTGACGCCTTGTTTCTAATCCCCAAGGACCCTGGTTGGCCTCTGTGCTATGGGAGGGCTCTCACCTTGAGCAAGCTCCACTTCAAGGGCACTGCGCTGCCCTGCTGAGTATTGTCTGGTGTGCGGTGTGGTTCGTCACTGGGGGGCAGAGGCTCGGTGGGCTGCAGTGACTGGGTTGGTGAGTGGGGCTTCTTGTCCCCAGGGAGGCCTCTGATTGGTCTCCGGCTGGGGGGTTATGGGATAAAGACTGGTCCTCCCATGGTGGGGGTGTGTGTGTGTGCACATACAGCAGTGACGGTGTACCTTGGTTTCTGATGTGGCTGGGTTATCCCAGGCGTCCTGTGAGCACCTCATCAGCAGTGCCAGCACCCCCTTTCCTGTCCTTACCCCATCTGTCTGAGCTCTGCCTCTCCCTGAGCCCCATGGCTGGAGCAGGGTCAGCAGTGAGGCTACCTCGTGGGTGCCAGACCTCTCCCCAAAAAGCAAGTGCCGGGACACTCAGTGTTGGGGACCCAGCCTCACACAGGGGCTCAGACTCCTGTCTCCCTCTCGCTCATTTTATGAAACTACCCGTGCCTGTGGGGGCCCTCATGGTAGTGACACACTTTCCGGGCTTTTGAACAGTGGAACCTTTGGCCACACTTGCTGTGCATGTGAGCGTGTCAGTGTGGCCTCACCCTTCACGCCGAAGGGGGCGTCTGGAGAGGACATTCTAGGCGCTGCTACGTTTTCTGGCCCCTGCTCCTGTGTCTGGGGCAGTCAGTGTTCACGGGCGCCTCTTGCCTTCTGTGTGAAAACCTTTTCTTGCCTTTGACAACAGCGCTCCCATACGATGAGTTTGTCACTTGTGACTGGTTTCAGCTTCATCCATGTTGTGAGGTGAACACCTCGCAGAGTCGTTGCTCTCCAGTGTGTGCACTGTAGTTTATAGTTGAGCCACTCGTCTGCAGACAGGCTTGTTGGTGGCTGCGATGAGTGTGGGTGTGCCACGAGCCACAGTTCACACTACGCCTTTGTCCGCTTGCCTCCACTTGGACCATTTCATACTCCCAACAGCTGGTAACTTCCGGAACACGGGGTTTGCCTGTCTGCTCATGGTTGTGCTCGTATCATGTGTCTTCCTACGTGCTTCCGTAAACGGAACGCGCTTTCCAATTCAGTTCTTTAGGGGCTATTCGGGGGCGGGGGTTGTAGCTGTGGGTGATGCTACAGCCCTCCCCTGAACAGGAGGCCCCTTTCCCGCTGTGATCTGCGAGTCTGGGGGTGGGAGATCGTGCTACCTTGTGAGGGGGCATTTGTCATCACCCTTTCTGCCCTGGCTGCTCTGTGGCACTCGTCTCCTGAAAACTGCTGCTGGGCACCGTGTACAGCCCCCTCCTGGCCTTAGCTGAGGACCGAAGGGCTTGGACACAGCCACAGCTGTGAGGACATGTCATTCTCTCGTGCGAGAGGTCTCTGGGACACCTCACTGCCGAGTTCTCCTGCGTGCTGAGCAGTGCCTCGTGGTGGTCGGCCTTTTGCTGTCGCCAGTGGAGGTCTCGGGAAGAACACCAGTCGTCATTGGACGATGGCCCAAGCCCCTGGGGGCAGGGCAGGTGACTGCCACCGGGACAGTCCTTCCATGAGCTGTCATCTGCGCAAGCCCCTAGTTTGAAAACTCTGTCATGACCGGTGACCTCTGTACCGAGCTGGGCTTTGAGTGCTGCATGGCGACACCCACCCCACCCCACCCCTAGCTTGCCTGTGACCAGTGTCTCCACCCCATCTCCAGTCAGGACAGGTAAAGGCTAAGGCCTTCAGGGACCTCCTGTTGAAGTCTCAGCACAGCCACACCTGATGTCAGAAAGGCCTTCCCAAGGACCAGGAGTGGCCACTCCGCTTGACACACAGACAGCCCGAGGTGTTCCAAGATGAGGCTAAATTCTTCTCCTCCTTCCAGGGATGGGCGTGTCCTAGGAGTGCTGGAGGTGTCCCGCTCCATCGGGGACGGGCAGTACAAGCGCTGTGGGGTTACCTCTGTGCCCGACATCAGACGTTGCCAGCTGACCCCTAATGACAGGTAAAAGCCCTGTCAGAGCAAGTGTGCACGTGGCCTGGTGGTTCGATCTGACAGCTTCCTGTTTGTGTCACAGCTTTGCTGGGGGCGGGGCTGGGCCTTGGGAGCCTCAGTTGTGATCTCTGTCCATTCCTGTGGTCATGCTTAGGAGACGCCCTGAGGAAATGTATCATTCGAGTCTAGCATGTGGTCTTGAGCGTCCGCTGGGAGGCTGCCCGTGGAGAAGGGGAACTAGCTTTCTGGGCCGGGGAGTGCATGGGCATCCTGGAGCAGTGGTGGGATAGGATGGTAGGCTTTGGAAGCAGGCTGAAGGGCCTTAGGTTTCTGGCGGAGGAATTTGAATGTGAGGTGATAGTTGGTGGGGAATTGTTGAGGGTCTTTCAGCAGAGCCACAAGGGGCTGTAGTTGCAGCCTCTGTTCTGAATTGACGGAAGACAAGGCTCCAGGCTTGGTGGCAGGTGATCGTTAAAGGGGCCTTGTGAGGAGCTAGGAGACCCACTGGAGACTGAGGCAGCAGCAGCAGAGATCGGACAGGTCCTCTGGGACTGAACTGTGAAGGGTCTGGTCTGTTGGCCACACGACAGCGGAGTGAAGCTGACCCTCCCAAGTGAGAGCCCACTCATAGCTCCTGTGCTGGCATGAGAGACGGTCCACTGTGGTCCGTTTGCCAGCTCCCCACCTGCCCTCTTGGTTTCCTAAAACCCGTTTGGAGCGACTGTCCTCCTGTGCCATCCTAGCTCTACGTGGGAGACTCCTCCCCACTGGGCCCCACACAGACCTCAGGCTAGTTGGGAGCAGAGCTGGGGTGGGGTTAGGATGTAGAAGAAGTACTCACACTTAAGCAACATGTCTCAGATCCTTGAGAACCTGACAGGCAAGTGCATACTGAGGGAGGCTAGTGTCTGTCAACTTGTGTCGGGCTGTGGGGACGTCCAGTGGGCACATGCACGAACACCGGTGTTTTCATTCTGCACGTTTCCTCGAGGGTGTCTGAGTGTTGGTCCTGCTCACCGGGGCAGAGAAGGCTGCTCTGGCGGATGGTGTGGCTCCCACAGAGCCATTTAAATCCCTTACTCTGTGGTCTTGTAGAAGTGGTGTTGCTGTGGGGAAACAAGTACTCACTGGCCTTCGTTGCTGGCCTTCCCTTCCTGCTGCTCAGAGCCTCCCTGTGCCCCGTGTTGTAGGTTCATTTTGCTGGCCTGTGACGGCCTCTTCAAGGTCTTCACCCCAGAAGAAGCTGTGAATTTCATCTTATCCTGCCTCGAGGTAAGCGTCCCCCCAAAGAGCTCTGTTACCCCTGTACCCCCGCCCCTGTTACCTGGGTGGTCAGTACCGGTCCCACCTGAACTGAGGGACCCTGGTCAGCAGTTCCTACTTTTGTGGAGTGACCAGGCACAGGGGCATTTTCAGCTGTGCACCTCCTGTCCGGCAGGATGAGAAGATCCAGACGCGGGAAGGGAAGCCCGCCGTCGACGCCCGCTATGAGGCGGCCTGCAACCGGCTGGCCAGCAAGGCAGTACAGCGGGGCTCGGCAGACAACGTCACGGTGATGGTGGTGCGCATCGGGCAGTGAGGCGCAGGCCCGCGCTCGGCACCTCGTGTGTATGCTCCTGTGGGGTCCCTGGTTGTAAATAAAGGTGATGTTTTTTTATTTATTTTTTTCTTAGTCTTTTGTGTCATTAGCTTGGAGCAACACTGCACCATTTTCTGTGGGCCTGGCATCCTCCCTCACTGAAACCCTGTTGGTGTCTTGGGCCGAGCCTTGGGGATGGCCAGGTGTGGCACGGCCGTGTGCAGGACACTGGACCGGCGCGCTTCCTCCTCATGACAACCCTGGGGCAGTGGTGGTGGAGCAGTGCCATCTAGTCGGTTCTGACCCACAGCAACCCTATATAAGGTTCCAAGGAGCAGCTGGTGAGCTTGTAACACTGACCTTGTGGTTCAAACCGACTTTGCAGTCCAGTGCATTAGCCCACAGTGCCACCCCAGGACACTGGGGAGAGTGGCAGTCGTCCCATTTTTCTGACAAGGCAAGGCTTCTCAGTTTTCCAGAATATAAGGTTCCAGAAGGTTCTGTGTCTTGATCCCAGAAGAGAATCGGGCCCCAGTGCCTTTCAGCTCCTCAGAAACAGCCCAGACACCTCTGCCTTCAGGGACGACAGGGCGAGCTGGTGGGAGGGTGCTGGGGAGTGGACCCCAGCAGGCAGGGGCGGGTTCCCCCTTAGGCTTGTGTGTGTGCCCCACCAGCTGAAAGTGACCCAGCAGGAGCAGCCATACTTCAGGGGGGCGGATCCTCGTGGGAAAGGCGGAGCAAAGGGGGCGTGGTTGGCCTGCTCAGATAACTGCTTACGACTGGACCCTCATCACTACAGCACTGCTTTATCTTTTTTGTCTTCCGTAGTTTATTTCCCACAATTCTCCTGGCAAGTGAACATTACTCAAGAGCATATGGTATACACACATAAGAAACATGCAAAATGTTTTAAAGGGTACACAACAAAATCCAGCTGTATAAAGGAATGCATGTGAAGTCTCGCTCACTGCGCAGACTAAATTTAATCACTTGTTTAAATAGTAATAAAAATAAAGTCTTTTATGGATCTTGTGCAGACTACAAAAGAAGGGAAATTATTACCATATATATGATTTTTATATTAGGCAGTTTTCTTTGATGAGTTGCACCGACAACTCCAAATACAGAGGCAGAAAGCTGTGTGTTTTAAGGGAATTAATGTTGTGAATTAGATTATACACAGTTTCTACCACTGGCACTTTTCCCCATAGATTATATACATCACATGATCATCTTATATCAGATGACCTTTAAAAAATACATCTGAGTGACAATTTTATAACACACACCATGAGCTAGTTACGGAGGTATTGCCACAGTTGCCTTTGCTGTTGGTAATAAAGATGGTTCATTGTGGTTAAAAAAAATAAATGAGACATCAATGTGCTTAAGTAGCTCCCATTTACAAAGGTCACAGAGGCCACTACGGGGGCATTGAGTTCTTTTAATGTACGTCAAACACCATTGATTAAAACTTTGTCTAAATAACTCAGCTTCTGTGCTAAAAACTATTTTCACAACAAAACTGATAGGTACTAAACATTTTTATATAAATACTGTATTTTCTCATCATATTTGTGACCAAGTTCTTTGAAACCTTTGGAATTTTACTGTCTTTAATGTGTGCACTCATCTCCATCTCAGCCATTGAAGAAGACCACCTAAAAAGGCTTTCAGGTCAGGGAGTGCTAGAAAGTCACCAGGATGTTCAGCTGTTGGACGGTGTTCCAGAGCCGTAATGGTACAGAGCTGTACTGGATGAGAACATACTGGAAGCTGTCATACTGTGAGTGTCATTTTAGGGAAAGCAAACACTCCACACTGTGCACATATGCTGTGTATTGAAGAGGACTGGTCAGCAGTGGGCCCCTCCAGGTCATCTGTTTGCTGGAAAGTAGTTTGAGTCAAGGTAATTATAACTGGTGCCAGGGACACAGAATGTTTCTGACCTATGACTAGGTTCTAATTGGTGAGTCTCCTTGTGAATCTGTTTCATGTACACAGTCTGAACAAGAATCACAAAAGTCCAAAGACGTTTCTAGAATCCTGACAAGGCCACCGAACACCCTGGCTAGGATCTATGCCACAGGTTGCACAAGTCCACTCTCAGCTTGCATTTGTTGAAGTTTTCTGTTTAACTTTTTAAACCGTAGTAGTTGTTTATATTCAGGTAAGTTCCTATACATGATAGGAATACTTTATATACATGATAGGGATACTGTCTTCATCTGCTATCTCCTCAGTACCGGTGTTCATGTGGCCATGAAACAGCATCAGATAGCTCATCATCTTCATCCATATATACTAGAGGGTCATGGGATGTCATGAAAGTAGGTTTAAATAGATGTGTATTAAGGGGGTGCTGTCGTCTGCTTATTGAAGACTTTTTGGAGTATGTATGTTTGGTGTTCTTCTTGGGACTGGAATGCCAGCTTTGGTTAGCTGTATGAAATACTTTTGTGCTCAGCTGGCAACCTGTTTTGCTGTCCTATTGCCCAGTTCATCTGCAGTCTTCTGCCAGTGCTGAGATTCTGCTTCTTCAGAAGGGTATTTCAGGAGTAGCTGTTCAAGTTTTTCTGTTCTACAGTCCACAATTGGTTAAATACTTCAGGTTTCCTATCATCACACAGACGTCCTATTACCATCGGAGGACGACTGATTGAGCCTTCTGGACCATCATTCAAAGGCAACAGTATGAAAGGGACTCCCCCCATCCTTAGAATCTAAAGGACATTTGGATCTAGCAGGTAAACCTACTTTATCAAAAACTAGTTTAACTCTTAGTATGCCTTTTATGATTTTTAAATGCGCAAACTTTCCAAGGCTACTGATATATTGTTGTTGTTGTCAGGTAACATCGAGTTGGAACCGACTCATAGCGACCCCATGCACAGCAGAACGAAACAATGTTCGATCCTGGGCCAACCTCACTACCACTGCCACACTTGAGTCCATCAATGATGCCACCTGGCTGATCTATCTCATTGGGGGTCTTCCTCTTTTTCGCTGACCCTCTGTCTTTCCCAGCATGACATCCTTCTCCAGCGACTGTTCCCTCCTGATATATTGGTCCCATGCAATCTCAGGTAACTGAACAACTCTCTGTGAATATGGAAGCCCTGTATCAACCTACTGGAGTTTTTCCACAAATGCAGTTGGAATTTTCAGTGTTTTGCTCCGGTGTCTGTCTAAACTTTCAAGGTCTTGAACTGCTTGAGAACACTGAGCCTCGAGTACAGCAATAGTCTGTAACAGTCACTGATAGCGGCCTAACCAAAGATGGATTCACTGTGGAACGCTGTCTCTGTCGTCTTTATATCCTGAAGGAGCTGAGCTGTGATCTACAATAAAGCTTAAGTATCAGGGTTTCTCTGCTATTCATAAGGTTGTCAGTGACTAAATATTCGTAAGTAGTTCGTCACTCCTTCCCAGTCTGTCTTCATCTGGAAGTTCATCTGAAACCTGTCCACCATGGGTGACCCTGCTGGTATTTAAAATACCGGTGGCATAGCTTCCAGAATCACAGCAACTCACCTTCTTATCAGCAGAGAAAAGATTGAAGTTGTCAAGGACTTCGTTCTTCTTGAATCACCTATCACCACTCACGGAAGCAGCAGTCAAGAAATCAAATGATGTATTTATTGCATTAGGCAAATCTGTTGCACAAGACCTCTTTAAAGTGTTGAAGAGCAGAGATGTCAGCTTGAGGACTAAGGAGCGCCTGACCTAAGCCATGGTATTTTCAATAACTTATGCATGTGAAAACTGGACAGTGAATAAGGAAGACTATAGAAGAATTGATGCTTTTGAGTTATGGTGTTGGAATATTGAAAGTTCTTTGGGCTGCCTATAGAACCAACAGATCTGTGTTGGAAGAAGTGTAGTCGGAGTGCTCCTTGGAGGACAAGATGGCCAGACTTCGTCTCTCATACTTCGGACATAGTGTCGGGAGGGACCAGTCACTGGAGAAGGATATCATGTTTGATGTTTGGTAAGGTGGAGGGTTAGAGAAAAAGAGGAAGGCACCCCCCTACCGAGATGGATTGGCAATGTGGCACTGTCAATGGGCTCAAGCGTGGCAGCGATTGTGAGGTTGGCCCAGGACTGGGCAGTGTTTCCTTCTGTTGTGCATAGGGTCGCTATGAGTCAGTACTGACTCGATGGCACCTAACAATGACAACAATCAGGGTTTCATACTTTCAGCTTCAGCCAGGGAGACTATTCTTGTAGTTTAGTGCCATCAAGTAGGCGTCTCTGTATCGGGTGTCCACGGAGCGGCTGGTGAGCTTGAACCGCTGATCTTGCAGTTCAAACAGCTTTGCAGTCTGGTGCATTAACAGCACTATACCAGGATTCCATGGAGAACACTAGAACTTCCTAAATTTGTTTTT